TGTTATCATTCAATGCCGCGTAGATTACTTTGCTTTGTGGAAAGAGCTAGGGATGCACGTCGTTTTGCAGGAATGTCCCGGTGGGCAGAGTTTGAAACCTAGACATCTCTGAATCGTGCAAACTGACAAATGAGTATTGAATTTTGGGCAAGTCTGGGCAAGTCCAAGTCTCTAAACAAAAGTATGGCAAACGATGTGATGATGGATTGTACCCTCCAAGTTGAGGATTTTCCTGCAAGGGTGCGTTTTTGTGAGGTGTCTTGTGTAATAGGGTGAATAATTTCTATGTGATCATTCAAAATCTTCACGTAGTCCGTCGGTCACATTTTCAACAAACAACGAATATTTGGGCTGACATGCTCATTGGACATTGAATCAGTGATTTACTTTCGGAACACTTTACCAACGGCGACATCTTCAAACAGTACCAAAAAGTGACAGAGCCGTACTTGAAATTTCTCTGCAAATGAACAGTGAGTACCTTTTCATTAATTTTTTCTACTTCCTGGCTACTGTTTACACATTAGCTTTGTTATGTCAAGCGCTGTTTTTTCTGAAAAGGAAAGTCCCAACTTTCAGGACACCCGGTATTGCTATCGGGACTCCCATCTACAAGTGAAGACATTTTGTTCCATCACCTCTAATACAAGCATTCTTTTTATCCCCCACGACCTTTTGACATCTTTATCTGTTCCAAGATTACGGTCGCGGCAGCGTCCAATCCGACAAAAGAAAAACCTCTAACTTCTTGATTGAAAACTAACAAAGAAAGAACTTCCCGACCGCCGTACGGAATTTTGCCCTCTTTTTATCGCACATTCCGCGTTTTCGTTTCCCGACAAGGCCGCCGACACTCCGGTCGTCACAAAGAAAGGCGACCGGCAATAACCAAGATACATGCTCGATGTTGTTCAGATCGATGCCTCTTCTCTGACGGAAAGTCTCGCACCGGCGGGCCGTCGACGATCTAGCTCTCTTCTACCGCTGAGCATAACTTTGGTATTGTGAACTGCTTCGTTATATTTGTTTCTGGTTTGTCTGTTCTCTGCAGCGGCATGTCGCTCTCCGTGCGAACGCAGCTTTAATTATAACGTCACCGTCACGACCCTACAGTATATTCAGATAAGAGATAGACCGGATGTAAACAAAAGGTTCGGGTGATTTTCACGCTAACGCCGCCGTCTCGACGTAAAACAGGAGCCCTCATTGGTCAATTCGCAATTAAATGCTTATGCCGAGCGGCAGAGCAGTCGTATCAAGGCAGAGTCACATTCAGGTTCAGACAATTTGATATTTCTTTGGACGTTTTCGTTTGTTATCTTATTAAGTTGTTGAGTTTGTCGTTGTTATTGTTATACCTTGTTATTGATTGTTATTGTTATCAACTGCTTGCGCAAAATGCCCAGTAGTACAGATACTGCCGATGAAGTTGTAAACTCCTGTAGTCCACTTAGGAAACGCTCTAAAAAAAGACACCTGAGTGCAGAAATGAAAGAGGTCATTTTGAATATATATAAGATCGAGCGCGAGGAGAACGAGGCATCAACCATCAGAGAAATTGTTGTGAAGGTTTCTCACAAAGTTGGGGCGTGTCGCGCTTCAGTGTTTAATGTGTTAAGACAATACAAAAAAAATCACACCTTTTCTGAGCCAATGACCAGTAAACATCGCAAAAGTATTGTTAAATCATTGGATGAAGCTGATAAGCATGCGATTAGGAGGAAAGTGCATGAATTCTTCTTTAGGAATGAAATACCTACTATAGATAAAGTACTGCAGGAGGTAAATGGAGATACAACGTTGCCAAATTTCAAACGATCAACTTTCCATGCGTTACTGAAGCATTTAAACTTCAAATGGAAAAAACGGGGTCGTAATAGTTTACTACTGGATAGAGAAGAAATATGTGCTATGGAGGAGGGATTATTTAACAAAAATTGGGAAATATAGAAATCAAAACAGGAAGATTTATTACCTTGATGAAACGTGGATAAACGCAGGACACACTACAAGTAAAGTATGGGTTGATGATTCTGTAACTTCATCCAGGAGGGCCTTTCTAGATGGACTGTCCACCGGATTAAAAAATCCAGCAGGTAAATACGAGTAATAGACAACAATCGGATGTTTTTCAAACCTTGGGAACAAGGTTCTAAACATTAATTCCAGGGGGCAGATAAAACATATTACAAGTAACAAAACTTTTATAACTTTCGATAAAATGCGTGGATGTTTTATTGTCATTTTCATTTGTTAGAACTTTTTTAAGCCATGTTTTTATGTGTTTTCGATATTTCAATAATTTTTTAATATAATCTTAAAATATGTCGAATATTATAAACTTAAAAAAAGTTACTAAGTTTTATATTGTGTACCGTTCCTAATATTTCTAATCATTTTAATTCATACTTTAAGCTTTATAAAGTTATAATTTGTTAATATTAATATTTGCGCGTATTTCAGGTTCCTGATCATTCATTTTTAAAGGTTTATAACTTTAAATTAAATTGTGAAGCGCTGAGTAATCATACGACGTTCAATATTCTTTCTTTCAAAATGACTAAATAATCCCAATTATAGCAATCTGATACTCAAGTCTCAATGTTTTTTCGCTGAATGTGATGAAAACATTTGAAAAAGGTTCGCTTATTGAAATAAATCTACACCAGTTAGTACTTCGATTTCCAGGTAAAGGGAAAAGGCTCATTATCTGCCATATTGGCAGTGAGGATGGATTTGTTGTTGACGGTCTGTGGTGCTTTGAGTCTAAGAAAACTGGAGATTACCACGAGGAAATGAATGGCGAATCGTTTGAACAGTGGTTTTCAAAAATTTTACCGAACTTAGAGGAAAACGCAGTAATTGTGTTGGATAATGCACCTTATCATTCTCTAAGAATGGAGAAGGTCCCAACAACGGCTTCAAGGAAAGTTGATGTTCAAAATTGGCTCCGCTCGAAAAATATCAACTTTGAAGAAGCAATGCTGAAAGTACAATTATTAAGAATTGTCAAGGATCACAGGGCGGAATATCAAAAATACGTCATTGACGAAATGGCAGCAAGTCAAAATAAAACTGTGCTCCGTTTACCTCCATACCATTGCGAGCTCAATCCCATTGAGCTCATATGGGCAGAGGTTAAAAATTATATAGCTAAGCACAATACAACTTTTAAATTTTGTGACCTCAAAGGACTTTTCAAAAAAGCACTAGAATTAATAACAGCGCAAAAATGGGAAAACTGTATTAAGCACGTGAAAGACAAAGTTGAAAAGAGAATGTGGGAACTGGACAATATTTTAGAGGAACAAGTCCAGCCATTCATTATTGACGTTGGTGCTTCAGGCAGTAGCGATGATGAAAGCTCATCAAGCTCATCTTTCCAATAAAAGATGTCGTTCATCAAATTCGGTAAGTTATAAGTAATTATAAAGCTACTGTATTTTTTAATTAATTATTGACATTTTTGAACCCATTTTGGCAAAACCAATTCAAGAATCTACTTTCTGACAATGTTCAACCATGCACATTTTTTTACGTTTTGAACGTTTTAATTTGGTTACATATTTACCTAGAAATCAAAAAATATTCTAATCAATATTCTAAAAGCAATTTTAAGAGATATACGATTATTTTTAATTTAGGCTAATTTAAACGCCATTTTGAGATTATATTCGACTGTATTTCACCAAACATCAGGCGGCATCCGAAGCTGGAAATCGAAGCGAAAATTTTGAAACCCTTATGTATATTTACTTCATTATATATTTCTTACCCCACCCCCACATGATCCTATATCCATCACCAATCGTATACACATCGAATTGTGCTAATTTACTACAAAGTTACGCAAAGCAGCATCTACTATCTAAAATATGTACTGCGTGACTCTTAATACGTCCCTGCCGAATGTTACAGCGTTCGATGATCACGTGGTCTTGTTTATGTCCGGTCTATCTCTTATCTGAATATACTGTAGCTCTCTTCTACCGCTGTGCCAAACTTTGGTTTTTGGTATTGTGAACTGCTTCGTTATATTTGTTTCTGGTTTGTCTGTTCTCTACAGCGGCATGTCGCTCTCCGTGCGAACGCAGCTTTAATTATAACGTCACCGTCACGACCCTAGATGAGATTTCAGCAGATTTTATGACATTTGGCAGCATCCAGGTACCCGTGTCTCGCTCGTAAAAGTACCGATGGACGTATTGTGGCCTCGTCAAAACCGTACGCTGTCGGTTTTCCGGAAAACAATTAAAACTCAGCAGGCAGATTTCTCGCTCTCTTTTACGACCGACCGATGTATTTCGGGATATTTAATTGCGCTTCTGTAACAGAACATTGCGGAATGGCCTACTGCTAACTCCAGCTACTATTACAGACGTCCCGCGATTTTTATTGCTAGCCGTCCGTACTTTAATATTGCGTTATTTGATTTTCCGGATGTACTTCCGGTTACCTTTATTACCGGACCGGTACCGGCTTTTCGTTTTTCATTTTTGAACAGGTCCGGTTATCGAGCTGAAATTTGAGGTTAGGCATTTAATGCAAAAGTATTACATTTTTGCGAAGCGGCAGCTGAAATTTTCAGAATGTTGGCGGGGCACCATATTGGGAGTTCTTAAAACAATGCAGGGTCAGAATTTCAAAGCTTCATATCCGCTGTATAACTATGAAATTACCATCATTCAAAATGACGATTCATGATGATTTCCATTTATTTCGAGACTTGTTTTTGAATATATTTTTTTATTCTGCTACGAACCTACCATAGCAGGACAAGATGGCGCGATATATTGGCCTCCCGGGAGCCCAGAGAATTTTAGCTTGTTTTCTCTCGGGCAAAAATAATTTGCGATAGACTTTTTCGAAAAGCATTGTATATTGTTCAACACTATATCCATCTGGCGATAATAATGATAATTTGCCGATGTTCGATCCTGTTATACATCGTTATAAATAATAAACCGCGTTCCACGTTATAGGAGTTAATTGAAAAGTTATTATATTTGCAACATGACCATTTTAATGAATAATTCATCATGGTCTCGCGGATCCACTTTACACGCTATATTGTGATGCTGCATGAATTATATTTAATATATTATATTTTCAAAATAATAATTTATAATACATATATACCGTATCGTTTTACGCAGCTAGCATTTATGTGCATGAGCGGTCCTAAAAACACAATCAAATTTGTCTCATACATTTCCATGCGGTGTTTCCTTTGGGCTTTAGTAGATTTGAGGATATTTGAGAAGAAATCATAAAGTGCCATCCAATACCAGAGTGAAAACAGTAACCTGTCTTTTAGAAGCATTGTGACCGGTGGATGCCGCCGATTGTGGTACTACAGTAGATATACAGGTGACTTCGAAGTTGAGTCATTTATTTTAACAGTGAGTAGATCTGATCAAAAGAAACGTTTTTTTCCTATAACATTTTTCTGGTAAAATTAAAGTAACAAAGTTATAGCCCTTTTGAAGTTTGAGTACCGCCCTGTCTCAATAATAATATTATGTGCTCGTGTTCGGCAACAACGGATATAATCCGCCTTATCGGTTCATCGCATCGGAAACAAAATTTGAAACGCCTATGTTTTTACTACAATTTTATTCAGTTGTATTCAGTCAATGTGTCAGTCGGTAACGCGTGAGTGAATAGTGGTGTTTGTTGCGTGTTGCTCAAACGAAATAAAAAATGGCACATGTTTACGAAAATGCTGAACTTGTGGACATGATACTTATTTACCAAATGCTGCCGCGGCATCACGGATTTATGCGGATCGGTTTCCCAATCGAGTGCAACCAACCCCTCGTGCCTTTGTTAATGTAGTACAAAGGGCTCGTGAATCAGGTGACTTAAAACCTCACAGGGGAAGGCATGCCGGTGCTCCAAGACCGCACGATCAAATACAGGTCCGCATTGAAATACTTGTTGGGAGGATACTTTATAAAACAAGGTAACATTTTTTTTTATTTTTACACACATATTTTGGTATATCTTCCTTCTATAATCATCATCTGAAAATTAATGACTCAGCTTCAAAGCTTTCTGGTAATAGATGGCATTTTTTGCGGTATACTTTGGGTAGAGGACAGTTGTTCAGATTTTGTTAGTCGTACTACCTGAGATCATGCATAAACCACGATGAAGCGTTATCAAAAAAATCATACAATGTGTGTGAGGCTCTCAAATATGAAGGACTATCCGGCAGGATATTCTGACATATGACACAAATGACAATGTCTCATTTGGATGCACGACCTGATTTTGCATTTTATTGAAAATAACAATGTCTTACTGTTGCTACTCAAAATTTTGCTCAATGCATTCTTCGAAGACATAAATAAGATTACAGATTGTTTATTTTCAAACAAACATGGAGTGAATAATCAATTACTGTTAACAGGAAGATGTCGCGTCCTCTGCTGGACGGTAGGACCACTACACAACTATGCTGCGCCGCGTAAACGGTGACAATCCTAGAAATAGTTGTCCTACTGCCCACCAGAGAGCGCGAGAGATCTCTCTTAACAGGGCTGGCTTGAGGAGCGTTGATTTTCGACAACAATAACATCCACGATGATCTTACCATATCGTATGTCGCGTGGTACTTCTCCACGCCGGCTGCGGGCGGACTGCCCAGCGCAACCAAAGCAGTACCAGCCGCCGCTGCGACGAGCGGATTGTCAAAGTAGTTGATCTCGGTGAATCTGTTGACGATCAATGTCCCCGGTTGACCAGTCACAGTGGCCGTGACGCCAGGCGCTCCCGTCAAACTTGCCGCGGCTGCCGCTTGCTGGTGCACGTTGCTAATGGCGAACATAGGCTGTGGTTGGGGTGCTGCTTGGTGCTGCCCGCCCCCTGGCACGGCGCATTGGCCGCACTGACACACCTGATCGCACCAAAATAGACACCGCGTACTCATACGGTACTCATGTAGGTTTAGTTACGGGTACTGGGTCCGTTTGTTTGATCCAGACTAGGGTTTTTGGGCTTCGGTACCCGGCAGGGCTATTACGTAAAAAAATCTATATGATGTAAAAAAAAAACGCTGCAGAATGTCAACTTGCTCAATAGCCAGCTGTTAGTGTGCCCATAGTTCGTCACCCACAGCGTCACCTATTGAGGAATGACGGAACGACATGCTCAACGACCATGCTGCAAGTCAGTTCGCCAGCATGCTTTGTTGGTTGCAGAATGCTGAGATAGTGTGTAGTTTACATATCTGAGATGTGACAGAAAGAAAATTGGTCAGGTAGCAGAGTAGCAAGATCGCATTTGGATGATCGTGATAATTCAGGATTGTTGATTCTGAGGCTGATTGTATTGCACTTCAGCGCGACATTGAGGCTTTAGTAGCTTGGTGTGATGAGAATAATGTATAGTTTATTTAATGAATCAAAGTAGTTACGTTACAACGTCAAATAGTGACAATGACGTACATGGTTGCCACATTAATTAAAACTACTATATCCTAGGATGTTTTACAAAATTTAGTTTATGTCTTCTATGCTTTACCGCAACCGATATTACGGAGCGTATGTTTTGTTAACGCTATAGCTAGTATATGTTCTATTTACTACCTAACACCGCTCTTACGGACTGTAAAGGCAATAATGGAGCTCCATGATCTCGTTCGGTCTCAAAATATTTCGCCAAATGAATGACGAAGTCTTTTGCTTGTTGACCCAGAGGTTTCGGCATTTAAAAGGACACCTCATATTTTTGAAAAAAAGCAAAAAGCAATGCAAATATTGAGACAAAAAGAACGAAAATAAACAATAGCCGTTGGCAAGCTTTGCGACAATGCCACAACACACAAGGCTGTTACCAACATAAATGTACCCGGAAAATTCAAACTATACGTACCAATTTAGGATCTATTTTGCATAGTAGTTGGCATCCAAATTTACTAAATATGACATAACTGCTTTGTTTTAGTGAATAAACTATATTTCATGAAATATTGTTATTGTCTGGGTTTCAAATCTAGTCTAAAGCCTTTTATTGTATCAGGGCTTGCACAAATTTATTTGTAGCACCCATTTATGTAATGTGTGAGACTTTTGATGCCATATCTAATGCTGACAGTTTGAACAGTTAGGAATTACTTGAACAATTTATGATAAGTTTCCCACTTGAGTGATCTTTTTTTTCTTGTTTGTTTTTTCCTCTAGAATCACCTGCATCTTGTACGTTTTCTATTTTTGTTAGTTTGATTCATCTTTTTTACGATCGTCCTATCCATGTTTTCTTCAACTGTGGGGAATAAACGCTATTTATTTTATTTATTGTGTGCCATCTCTGAAGCACATGTCAGATCACATCAAAGCCAAACCATGATAGCTCAAGCGTCATAAGGTTTAGGCAACACGTACGCCTTGCAGCGAGTGCACATCAAGTAAACAACAGCTAGTTCCAAGTTGACATCTTATAGGAAAACCTGCATAATGTCAAAAAACTATATTATGTCAAAAAACCTACAGATACGTAATAACCCTGCGGAAATAAGATTCGTCCATATCTACTCGTATATACGATATTTCGAACTTCGAATATTTTTTAAATAGTCCTCGATTTTCCTACCAAAAAAAAATGTTGAAATGTTTGAGAATTTTCGAGGTTGTTGGGATATTTTTTATTGTAATTTATTCCTATCTTAAACATGTAAAATAAAAAAGATGTATTTTTGCATATAACGTACTTCTGATAATGTCTGATAGAAGAAACGAGTTTTCCTTTTTCAAATAGTGTGATTTTGTTCCTATTTTTCACAGTAACTTAACGTCGCATGTCCATTTTTTTAGCCTATGCGGAGGAGTATTCTTATTATTTTTGCGTCTGATGGTGTGTACAGAAACGCAAAAAGACTTTCTTTTTGTCAAAAAATCATTTTGTGCCTTTTCAATAGCAACTTGTTACGAGAATAAATTGTATGTGAATATTCCGCTTTTATGGAAGCATTTAGCTGGTCATTACTTTTTCCTTATCACTTTCTCTGTTCAAGAAATATTTGCTGCAAAATGATGGTTCATGAAAATCGAAGAGAAAAAATGATAATAAAAGTAATAACGCTCTTAGCTCTACTATAAAAATGGAATCTTGAAATACATTTTCAGACCTGTACTTATATTTGATAAGAAGTTACGATCGAACAAAATGGACATTGAGTTGCACAACAGATGCATTTTTTGATAACGAAAAATTATAAGATCGTCTCTCTATACTAGAATATCCCAAAAAAGACTTTGAATTTGAAAGTGAATATGGAAACTATATATGGATTTCAAAACCTAATTCGTATTCGACAAATAAAACCCTGCTTTATTTGTATCTTATATTTCCGAAATATTTGTCATTAAAGAAACATTATTTCCAAAATTTTCTTATCAAAGTTTTCTAGAAGCTACATTCCAATGGTTAAAGCCGGAAAAGTGTGTTTCCCGAGAAAATACAGATTTCTACTGAAAAGTGCCTGAATATTTCAGAGACTGACAAGCTGCTAGAATCTCATCGACATGAATTGACCGAAGAAGTTGCTATCAAGAATTAATTATTTGCTAAAACTACTATCTTTAACTCATAAAAACAAATGTATTTTCCAAAAAAACTTGCATTTTCCTGATTATAACACGAGGAATAAAAATCAATTTAGCTTAGATAAGCATAACTTAACTACACTTTTCAAAAAGCACCTTAAGATGATGCTCTTATCTAACACCTTCTACAGCACAGATGAGTTCCTTGTGTTTTTGAAGGAGCTGAAATATACTAAGTGACATATAAATCCGAACACCCAGTTTAAATGGTTTTATGTTAATAAAAGTTGGTGAATGTATTTATCTTACTGTAAATAACAAGTGAAAAAATTTTCAGCTTTATCAGTTGGACATTCCGGTTTTTATACTGCTTTTTTTAAATTCACTAACGCTCTAAAAATGAATATTTCAGCCGCAGTAAAGAATCAACGTTGGCGGATTTTGGTTCTTGACATCCTTTACGATCGGTTACGATGCCTAGAGTACGGAGACCTGTACGATTTCGTCAACTTAGTGAGTTTGATAGGGGCCGTATAGTGGGACTTCGGGAAGCTGGACTTTCTTTTCGGGCAATTGCAGTTAGAGTGCAAAGAAGTGTAGACACTGTGGTTAGGTGTTGTCAGGCATGGCTTCGAGAAGGCCGTACGCAAAGAGCAAGGGGCACTGGACTCCGCCGTAGAACAACAGACCGTGAAGATCGCCGCCTAAGATTATTGGCCTTATGGGACCGTTTCTCCACTACCAGGTCCATTGCAAATGAATGGTTTGCAGAACACGGAAGACCTATTGGCATGCGAAGTGTTTACCGACGAATGAGAAGTTTTGGCTTGTTTTCATACCGGCCACACTGGGTCCTCCCTTTAACCCGAGAACACCGACGTAATCGCCTTGAGTGGTGCAGACAACGGTCACTCTGGGATCAGGAATGGAACAGTATTGTCTTTAGTGACGAGTCTCGATTTTGTTTAGGCATGCACGATGGTCGTGCCAGGGTTAGAAGGCGACGTGGTGAAAGGAGGAATCCACAGTTTTTTGTTGAAAGACATGTTCATCACACTGTTGGAGTTATGGTTTGGGGTGGTATAGCTTATGGTTCTAGGTCACCTTTAATCTTCATCAGAGGTAACATGAACGCGCAGCGTTATATCCACGAAGTTTTAGAACCCCATCTTTTACCCTATCTTGACACCCTGGCAGATCCAACTTTCCAACAAGATAATGCCCGACCACATGTTGCAAGAGTCACAATAGACTTCTTTCAACATAATGATGTCACATTGTTACTATGGCCACCAAGATCTCCCGACTTATCCCCAATTGAGCACGTGTGGGATATGATGGGTAGGAGATTGCTCAATTTGCAACGTTCTCTTCAGACTCTAGAAGCACTTCGAGAGGAGTTGGTGGTTGTCTGGAATGAGATACCACAGGAGGACATTGACCACCTGATCAGAAGCATGCCTAGGCGCGTTGGAGAATGCGGAGCACATCAGGGTGCATCCACACATTATTAAAGGTCAAAGGGCTTCAAAGCAGTGCAATCATTTTGAAATTTTTATCATTTACTTATTATGCTTCATTAAGTACTTATACAAAATTTTATTAAAATAAAACCATTTAAACTGGGTGTTCGGATTTATATGTCACTTAGTATTGTTCAATTTTTATGAGGTCATTCACTTGGCATTCACGTGCACTTTTTAAATTTTCTGTATTCAGTTCGTTTGTTATTTTATTTTGTTTTTTAATTCGTCTTTACTTTTTTAAATATTCTGTGTTATACATATGACGCGTCTATACTCACGTGTTCGTACCCAATAAAGGAATTTGAATTTGAATAGAACTTTCAATAATATTCCTTGGCGGAGATACACAGAAAAAACGCCAGCATCAAGATCGATGGTTGGCCAGAGCACTTTATTCATTAAAAATAGCTCAAACTTTCTAATAAGGATATGGTAGCTCTGTTAGATATCTGCATTTTCATCATGACCACATATGTACGTGAAAAAGCTCCTAACCAGGATTTATGCTTCTTAAATGCAATGAAGGCTTATGAAAGGATTGATAAAACAATTTAAAAAGTAGCTTCACAAAAGCTCTGCCAACATTTATGGTATTTGGGAGATGAGGTCTCTGTCTTATGACGGCGACTTAGATAACGAAACTAAAGTACAAATTGTTGCTAGTTTGGCCAAAGAAAGTCCATCAGCCCACCTTAAACGCTACATTCCACGAAAAGACGAACTTTCTGACCCAAAACAAGTATGTTTAGATGGTAGATATTCGTGTTTTTTTTTCAGAGAACAATGTCGATGAATTTGCTTCAATCAAAAGCTAGTCCTTGTCCAAAAACAATTTGTTTACGTAGCAGACAAGAACACATGCTAACTGTAAAAAGAAAACTTTGGAAAGAAAATTTAGTAAATAATGTTCTTTTAATAAGAAATGTAAGATATAATTTTGCAAAATTCGTTTGCCCTCGCAGACTGGGGCACTCTATTTTATACACACCCTGAAACAACCGGATGAAAATATTTAAAATACTACTGCAAACAGGGACATTCGATTGTAAGTGAAAATAGTTTTTTTTTCAAACGGACCCAATACCAAATCATCACACCACGTACCTGTTGTTGCTGATAAGCTTCGAACGGCTGGCAAGGAGCGACAGTCGGACACAAGGGCACTACGTAGGGGTACTGATGATGGTACTGCTGGTGATGATTGAAGAAGTACGTGGTGACGATTTTTTGCAGCTCTTACGCGGTCGATCGAAATTCGGGGTGATGGGAATCTTAGGAGCGAAGGATATCGCCACTCGGGTACTATCCGCGGTGTAATCGTATTTAAAGGTACCGCGGAATAGTTACAGTTGAATGTTCGTTTTGATTGACGTTTTGTTACGTCTTTTGAAAGGTAGTACCGACAATCTTAGTCTTTCTACACTTAGATCGTCTTGTTCAATGATATCCTTTAATATTAGAACTAACAGCTACACATTTAATATTAACTAATTTTATGTAACTCGATTTTGATTTTATAATATGATTGCCAAAAGTTGCTTATTTTCTTTTAGATTGTCAAATATTCCTACTGGGATTACTAAACAGATGATTGCTGCTTTATTTACTTTCAGATTATTGGATCCCAAAAGGTCGACTTTCAGATTGTCAAATATTCCAAGATTGTCAGGTTTGACTTAGATTGTCTCAGATTGTCTTTACATTAAGTTTATTTGGTTTATATATTGCACGATGTCTATTCTAACTCTAGATGCTTATTTTGATTCGATATATAAATTTTGATTTTACATAAAATATAACTATAATTATTATCCTATTGCGATATGTACGATTGACAGAAACCTTAAGCTATTTAGGCTAAAATACTGATTTTCTTGTACACAACCTGTTTATTTTGATACCTCTACTGTATAAAACTGAAAACGAGATATGTCTTGCCTTAATTGAGACTCGTAGGTTTGTATGTTCCACAAAAAAATATATATACGTATATGTACAGTGTAGCGATTGTCTTAAATTACCTAGAAATATTGACTGAATCGGGCTGTGGCCTTCGAAAAAAATTTTTTTTTCCACTCAGGACGGTCTGACATTTAACCAGCTAAAAGTCTAAACGCTAACTTACGCTTACTTGATGATTGTCTTTAAATTCTTGGACAAAGTTGCAGCTCGTTGGCGCCTCTGTCTGTTAAACCGCGAACGAAAATCGTACGAACGAAATATTATTTTTTTTTTGTACTGATCGCGCGAGTGGCGAATTGTAGGAGAAAGGAAATCGATGAAAGATGTACTGAGGTGCGAAGAGGCGTAAGCGTTGGACGAGAGACCGATTAGCAAGAAGTGTTAGACTGTAGAGAAGGCCCGAACCGGCTTTGGCTCCAAGCTGTGAGCGATTCAAGCCCGGACTGAGCGCGGATCGCGGTGAGCCATGGAACGCCGGCGAGCGCGCGCGTGCGCTCTACGTAGGTGTTTGCCCCTATCCCCCCTACTTTGACGCGGCGCGGCGCACCGACGGCGTCGATACAACCTGATGCATGCGGGTTGAACAGGTTGCCAGATCGCGGGGAATAGCAACAGGTTACAGAAACTCACCCCCCGCTTTCGCATGGGAAATTTCGGGGATACTGAAGCATGTAAAAAACCTATAAAACGTCAAAAAAAAAACCTATAAGATGTCATCTTGCACACTAGGTAGTTTTAGGGCGCAAACAGTCATTCCACGTTTGCTCACAAGGATCGTTGTGAACGCCCTTGGGTTATTTTTATGTTGTGCTTTCCGAAGAGAGGTTATGTTCAAAGTTATAAACTACGAAAATCTCATCACCGCACCCGCGTTGTGTGTAATTACTGTTAGCATGTACGAGCCCCTTCCCACTTCAGCTGGCCCAACTATTGAAATCTTAGTTTTTTTCTGATCAAACACAAATAATAAAAATGTAGCAGGGCGGTATAGGTTTAAAATATTAACAATGAAATTGTGTTACCCGAAAAACACCGGTATCAACAATAATTATTGCGAGTGTTAACCTCGCAACAACAATTCTACAGGGTGATTCACAAGTCGTGACCAGAAATCAAACTTCATACACAGGACCGCATTTTGAGGCGGGTCTTCTATGTAATAAATATTAACAATGAATATATTATGATAATATATAGTTGAAAACACCAACTGTATCATTTCCTAATCAAATTTGCAGCATAAAAATAACACTTGTTGCAATTACAGCATATCAACCTAAAATAAAAGCCATGACAATTGTTTTTTTTAATCACAACTGTCAGAATACGTTTAAAATAGTTTTGGGCAGTTAAGGTTTTCAAAATGGGTAGAGGAAAGGTTATTAGTGAGAAAATTCGGTTACTGATGATTAAATTTTTTAATTGTGGGAAATCACACTCAGAAATTGCAACTTTGTTAGACTTGGTACAGTGTAAGAAATATTGTTAGAAGATATAACGTAACTGGTTCAGTTAATAATGTTAATAATGCAACTAATTTGTAGCTTTGAATCTTAATTAAGTGTATTTGAGACAAGAACCCAATGTAATTATAATCAACACATACAACTTACAGTTTAGACCTCCAGTAATGCCATCTCAGAAGCAGATTTTACATCACATCAGAGCCAAACATTGATAACAAGCCTCACGACGTTTAGGCAACACGTACAACTAAGTGCTAAGTCAAAGTCTTGGCGAAAAACCTACATAATGTCAAAAAAACCAGCATAATGTCAAAAAAAAATTCGGCATAATGTCACTTTTCAAGATACGTGATACCCGTGCCGGAAGGGACATTATGTAGGACACTTATGACATATTTAAAAGGGAGCGGTTGAAAATTATAGCCGAGAAGATAACAGAGCCACACTCAATTACCTAACCAATAAATGCTTTGAATCCGGCATATATCCCTCGATTTTCAAGAAATGGTAATATAATACCGATACATAAATCAGGAATAAAAACGGATGTTAATACTTATGGAGCAATATCAATAGCAAAAGTTTTTGAAAAAATTTTATCTACTATATTTTACGCATAAAGGTGTGTGTCTTTTTTCAAACGTTCTCAACTCTACAACTGCTACGAGGGTGGTCTGAAAAATTTCGAACCTAAGAAAGATACAAGACATTTTTTCTGGTTTTTTTTTATTATCAACAAAGTTTCCTTCTAGCTCTTACACACTTCTCCCAGCGATGCTCCCATCTCTGTAACCCGTTCAAATAGTAGTAAATAATTGTTCACGAAGGTAATAAGTGTTCACTTGACGAAAATCTTTGTCCTCCGAGCGAAATTTTAGATAAGAGAACAGAAAGAGGTCGCTTGGTGCTAGATCTGGGAATTAAGGTGGATGATCTTGCAGTTCAAACCATAATTCGTGGATTTTCCGGTGAGGTGCATTGTCTTGGTGAAACAGGAATCTTTTTCTGCAAACGTGGCCGTTTTTCCGCAAACGTTGCCTTCATCTTATCAAGTAATGATGCGTAGTATGCTCCTGTAATTGTTTTTCCTTTTTGAAGATAATCGATTAAAATAACTTCATGACTATCCCAAAAAACAGTTATTGCTTTTTCTGGTGTCGGTTCCTCGTTTGCAGTTCACTGTTTGGACTATATTTTTGTTTCGGGAGTATAATGGTGTATCCAAGTTTCATCTACAGTAATTAATCGGCGCCAAAACTCGGATTTATTGCGCCTAAACTGCGCCAACAGAGCGTTGAACACGCTTTTGGTCTAACGTGAGCAAACGCGGTTCTCACGTCTAAATTTTGATTCAGTATGTGATAAACACGTTCTTTTGACATTTTCGTATCCACTGCTATCATTCTCACTTCAACTCGATGATCGTCTAGCACCATTTGGTGAACTTGAGCGACATTTTCGTCGGTAGTTGCAGTTTTTGAACGTCCCGAACGTTCATCGTCTCCCAAGCCCTTACGGCCACGTTTAAATTCAGCTTGAAATCTCATACAATACACCAAGATTTTTTACACATTTGGTGAGTTTCAACTGGGAATTGTTAATATAGAATCGCATGTTTGATTCCAGAAAATCACTGGTGTTATTTGAGCTAAATAACATTTCAGATTCGTCTACGTTTGATTTGAGGGTGTTGCACTGTGTATAATTACACTGGACAACAAATTTCAGTTTTTTAATTGTATCTTGTGGGAAAAGTGCACTTCTTTGTTAATTTTGGGGCGCTGAATCCAAAAATGACAATGAAATAAAAAAATTAATTGCGGTTTAGAAAAAAAACTTTTTATTTTTAAGGATATATTAAAAAAAGTAACAAGATTCATATACTTATAAGAATCACCATATGCACTGTCTTTTTGCTGTTCTTTTATGGATCGTTTCTGGAGCATCTCTACCAAGAGTCCAACAGTAGTCTGCAAGCATGGAAGGATTCCACTTTCCCTGGTACCTTTTTTCCATTGTTGAAATATCCTGATGAAAACGTTCGCCGTGCTCATCACTTACGGCTCCGCAATTGTCAGGAAAAAAGTCCAGGTGTGAGTGTAGGAAATGTATCTTAAGAGACATATTACAGCCCATCTTTTGATACGATGACAGCATATTTTTGACAAGGGTTTTATAGTTGTCAGCTTTTCTATTTCCCAAGAAATTAGTGACCACCAGACGGAAATCATTCCAAGCAGTTTTTTCAATACCTGTTAAAGTGTTTTCAAACTGTGTATCTTTCAAAATATTTCGAATCTGTGGCCCAACAAAAATACCTTCCTTAACCTTTGCCTCACTTAGTCCTGGAAATTTCTGACGCAGGTATTGAAAAGCTGACCCATCTCTATCTAATGCCTTGACAAAGTTTTTCATTAGGCCCAACTTGATATGCAGTGGTGGTAATAAAATTTTTTTCGAATCTACTAATGGCATATGCTGTACATTTTTTTGACCTGGCTCTAGGAATTGACGTACAGGCCAGTTTTGTCTGGTGTAATGAAGTGCCTTTGCCCGACTGTCCCATTCACACAAAAAACAGCAAAACTTTGTGTAGCCTAGCTGCAGCCCAAGTAAAAGTGCAACAACTTTCAAATCGCCACATATATGCCATTGGTGCTCATCGTATTTTATGCATGTCAATAGGTACTTCATATTGTCATATGATTCTTTCATGTGAACTGCATACCCTACAGGAAGAGATGGTAAAATATTTCCAATATGCAATAACACTGCCTTTAAACTCAATGTTGAACTGTCTATAAGCAATCTCCATTCTTCTGGGTTATAGTTTATATTTAAAGCCGCCAGTAAGCCGTTAATGTTACTGCAGAAAACCAAGTTATTCTCCATATTGAAAAATGGTTCTAAGTCTTTGTGGCGTTTACGAAAAACACATACCGAAACATCGTCTTCTAACAAGTTCCACTGCTGCAGTCTTGATCCAAGTAACTCTGCCTTACATTTTTGAAGTTCTAAATCTCTTACAAGATCATTTAATTCTGACTGTGTTATTTTGTGCGGTTGGTGGCATGACGTGCTCGGTATAAAATCAGGATCTCTTGACGTTGATGGCATATCTTCTTCCTGACGAATCACTCGATCGCCATGATCTGATTCGTTTTCTGATTCGCAAGTGTAGGATACTGGGGGTTTTGGAATAGGATTTTCGTCACTGTGAGGCACAGGTCTCATCGCAGATGGTATGTTTGGGTAGTTAATAACCGATTTTTTTTCTTGGACATACCTGTGGCTTGTCCAACACAAGGTACCATGCAAAAGCAACAATCATTAATATGATTTGTAGGCTCTCTCCAAACCATTGGGACAGCAACGCGCATAGACCGTTTTTTGCCATTTAACCAGCTCCTCAGACTTGAAGCACATATATTACAGCAGATGTGGTGTGCCCACTGTTTGTCTTGATCACCTAGTTTACAACCGAAATAAAGCTGATATGCCTTTGTTATTAGTGGAGCAATAGACCGTCTCTGAGACGCAAAGGTCACATCACCACACACGTAACAAAACTGATCTGGATTGTTTACACACTTTCGAGACATCTTGCATGAACGCTGTCAGCCAAGTGAGGAAAAAAATGGCTAATATAAAACAATATAATGTACACGTATGTATAACGTAACACAATCATGCCGATTACATCATCTTTCCTTGCCGAATATAAAAATGTAGCACGTGCATTCTTGTGAATTACAGTATATTAACACTGTCACAGCAGGAACACATATAATTACCGTATCTCTAAAACTTGAACTAATATTGAAAAAATAAGTTTAATTCCGGTTTTAGCACATTAAAAATAGTAATATTTTGTTGATTTTATTTAGGATATTTTTTGGCTGTTGATCAGTGTTATATATTGCACTAAAATCTCACTATTTATTTACAGCTAGTAGTAGTTTCAGAATTTTGAGGGTGAAATGATAAGTATATTTGGGTATCGTCAGCATACGTCATTATTTTAGAATCCCTAACAATATCCGTTTGAT